ACGACGAAACGAGTACAAGACTAAAAGTATAAACACAATTTTTCACACTCATTGAGTCATTCTCCATCATCTGCAAGTCTGCAAGAAACAATCATTGCACAAGTTTTGAAAGTGTAACATTACAGGCAAATGAAAGAACACGGCGAAACAGCTGCGCCGTACACACACAACAATAAAAGACACATGCACGCTGGACTCAGTCAAATGGTGTGCGAAAGAACTGTCGAATCGTCAGGAACGCCGATACAAAAATAACAGGAGAAACAAAAAATGAAACTGTGAGCACTGCACCTGTTGAGCCCGTGTCTGAAGAAATACTCAAAAAAGTGCAATCCTCTACAACATCGATGATAAAATAAAACAAGAAACAAAAACAAACTGCACCCGTGCATGGAAATAGTATACAATAGTCTAACCACCTATACAAATACAAATGCAGTCATGACGACCTGCACAGACCACTCCTACCAACACAAGGCCTCGTCTCAAGCACTACAGACTACTCCTACCAATACAAGGCCTCGTCTCAAGCACTAAATATACTGTACACTACTACGAATCAGAGGATGAAAGAAGACTAATGGTGGAACTATGCATCATCGTCGTCCACAATATCCTTCCTCCTCCTCTGCGGCACCACACCTGTCACACCATCCCCACGACCTGTGCCGCCTGCCGGCGCGCGCGTAGTATCCGGAGCATAAATCTCCCCCTGTGGCGCCGCCTCAACCCCTCCCTGTGGTCGAAGAAGATCATACACGGAAACCCTCCTCCGCAGGCCATAAGGCATCTCCAAATCGTCTGTGCCAGACTCCCAAACGACTGGCGCCTGTGACGGTCGCTGCGTTGTCGCTGCCCTCACATCCTCCCGCAATATACGTGCAGCCATGCTCCTCCCGGGGGGCGCACTGTGCTCGGCGTGGTCGCCGGTGCCCGCTGTACGCCCTGCACTATGTGGCAACGTCGCCTCGACAGGTGCGCTCATGGGCTGATCCGTCGCTCGGTCGGAGACCCTCTCCAACCATCCTGCTGCGTCTGCGACAACGTCCCCGCTCAAAATCGCCCGTGTCCGCGGATGTAAACCGGCCAACCCAGGCTGACTCGCCCGCATTGTCTGCGTCACTCTCCTCACGGTACTTCAACTTTTCCCTGCTCTCATCTTCTTCTTCCGTGACTGAGGAGAAGGAAACTCCCCGGCGGGTGTCGGCGAGGGGCCGCGTACCGCCTCTGCCGCGACTGTGCCCTCCGCATATGCGGGTGTGCTGACACCTGTGGTGGACGATGGCACTGACGGGCTGCAAGGCACGTAAGCCGGGGCCTCTGCCATCAGTCTCATCGACGCCTCGGTCATCCGCCCCGGTCGATCTGCCTGCAACGGGTCCTCCTGTGCCTGCCGCTCCAACTCCCCTGCCGACATGGCCCCACCGAGAGGCAATACGCAGACACCCTGAACTGGCGACGCAGGTCTCTCGCCCGCATCCCCTATCCCCGCAACGCCGCACTCGCCCTCTGCATCACCTGCCTCAACGCCCGTCTCGAGCATCCGCGCTACACGTGCCCTCAATGCAACACTCTACGTCATCTCGCAGCAGCTAGCCAACCCCTGCGCCCTCCTCCTCTCCTCGCAGTCGATCCTGTCCTGCTCTGACTCTGTCGCCCGCTCCTGCACAGGTCGACACTCCCCATCATCCCCAGTTGCACGCTCGTGCTGCCCCGACCGACCCGGTGCCCCCTCTGCTGCCTCTTGCAACATGCTACTACTGATGTCGCCCGTGCTGCATGAAGGTATGTCACGAAGTATCTGACTGACGGGCGTGCCCGTTGCGTCCATATCGACATCGACACGCTCCCCTGCCGGTGTCGGAGGATGCCCTAACGAAACATCAAAAATGTTGTCGCTGAAACTGACACCCACCTGTGCAGATGGCCTCCCAACCTCTCCAGCATCGCCACTACCACCCGCAAACCCACCTGGACCCTCCGCAGACGCCGATGCGCCCTCTGCAGACGTCGTAGCGAACTCTGCAGGGGAGGGAGCAACCTCCATAGGGGAGGGAGCAACCACAGCTGCCTCAGCGGGCCTCTCCTCATCAACCCAATGCACAGTGCGAGTGGATGATGCAGACTCTCGCCTTACTTTTCCTGTGTCAGCACGCCCTGCACCACCCGTCCGCCCTGCACCCCCAACACCCGGCCCGCTGCCTCCCCTGCCTGCACCACTGCATCGGTCGCCACGCTGTCTCTTGGACTTCCGCAAACCACCCACAGCCGGTCCACCGTCGCCGCCCTAGTCGTCGTCGTCGTCACCATGTCCGCATGTCGGGGAATAACAGGGATCATCCTCATCCTCACTGTTGCCCTCATACCCCTCCCTATTATCGCCATCGTCGTCGTCTCCCTCGTCGACACGCTAGCGAGTCCCTCCCTGTCCGCGACGATCGGTCGAAGGGTGTGGCGTACTGCTCTCGACACGGTCCGTCGGGCCTCGCTGTAAGACGTCGGGAGCACTTGAAGAAGGGCGTGCTGCGGGAGACGGTGCAGCGGCCGCCATGAACGCACGTGTGTGAGGACGCGAAATTTGCATGAGAGGAGTATCGTCGTCATCGTCATCAGAACCTCCTGGCTCTGACTCCACGGCCAGGTCGTTAGGATCGGACCACGGCTCGGCCTCCATCGCGTCAAGAGCCATGGGATCAGGCTCGGGATCGTACACCGACTCCAACTCATGCGCCATGAGCACCGTGGCGCGACGACCGAAATACGTCGCGACGCTGGGAGGTGCCTTTGAAAGGCGATCCTTCCGCCCGCGCTGGACCTGCCGGTCGCGCTGTGCCTCGGTGACTTGGTCGGCCGGCCGAACACCCTCATCACGAGGCGGAGGAATAGCGTCCTTTGTCTCCTCCTCAGCGTCCTCCCATGGAAGAATGTACCCAGAACCCCTCCCCTGACAACAACTCAATCTCAAGTTGGTGGATATCTCCACCAAACGAGTCAACTTGATGAGACCAAGCTGATTACGCCTCTTCACCTGAACACGCTCATGGACGGCCCAATTCCTCTCCGCCGGAGAGGCGCTCGTCCATGTGTGCGACGAGCAAATGGCGATGCTCTGAAGGAGAGGGACCCCGTCCCCGTGCTGAACCCACCACTACCCCACATGTGACGTCTCCTTCTCCCATTTGCAGGCGGCCGCATCCCTGTCTCCCTCGGCCCCTCCATACGTCCAATCACCCTACCGAGAATGAAACTCTGCCAGCTGCGTGTGCAACGTCTGATACAAATCCTTGTCACCACCAGTCTGCTGGCGAAGGTATCGCAACGACTCGTCTGCCAGTATCCGCTCGTGGTCGGTACGCCTCGCCGCTCCAAAAAAACTAATGCTCCTCTGCCACGGATTGAGGAGGTGGGCCATGCAATGTGCGGGCTCCAACATATGAGCGACCCGCGCCTGACAAGCTTGAAGAACGATGTGGAGCTCGTCCTTCGACGTCCTGTTAAGGCTTGCTCTCGCCACCCTGTCGACCATGATAAAACCCCACGACCACATGCGAGTCATCACGCGACCCCCCCTGTCCAGACGCCATAGCAACTGCATCACAGGCGTCATGAGCGCCACAATGTCCTCCACGTGCTCCCAGAATGGCGCGTACCGCACCTGATGACGCACCCATCTGGCCTGCAGAAAAATGGACCTCCTCCATGCAGTCCGCAGCCAATCGTCGCTCATCATCAACGCCTCCAACGCTCTGCGACGATCCAGGAGCCTCTCCAGCATCAAGTAGTGGGTGGCAAACCTCGTCTGCACAGGGTACACAAGCTCCCTGCCTCGCCGCTGAGACGAGGGTGGAGCAGAGCTCGAGCCACCAGCCGCCGCGGAGGCGGAAGAGGGGTGGGCGGCAGAGAACCGTCGATAAAGGCTCAGAGCCGCCCCGTGCTCTCTGATGAAACGCACGACAACTCGAGCCCTGATGATGGTGTCCTCCCTCTTCCCGAGGCTCCCGTCCCGCCCATCCTTCGCGATGCCTGACAACAACAAGTTGCAGACATGGACCGCACACGGAAGCCAAGTGATGCGGCTGTACTTGACTTCCTCCTGGGCGAGGAGCTTGGATGCAGCAACATACGCAGACGAGGAATCAGTACAAATGGCGTTCACCTTGTCGACACCAAACTTCTCGAACACGTCTTTCCATCGCTCCACTACGGCCTCTGCTGTTTCCTGAACAGCACCATCCCGCTGCACAGTCCTGAAAAGGTACGCGCCCGTGGGACCAGCAACAAGGAAGTTGACTATCTGGTCGTTCGTGATGGACTTACGACCATCCGTGAGGATGGTCACTCCCGTCGCCTCAATGTCCCTACGGATGGCCGCCACCATGTCCGCCACAACTCGCTGCTGCTGAGGGATGCCTTCGCACGAAATGACACGGTGCATGGGTAATGCCGGATGTGCATACGGCGGACACTCAAGCAACTTCTTCCTCATCCTATGATACTCTGGCCTCCTCGCCGCCTCAAATGGGATGCCGCTCACGTACCACCACAGCAGGACGGAGTCCGAGAATTCTCGTTGCCACACTGGATCGAAGGTCTCCAGCATGGATGTCTGTCGAAGAACTCTGCTTTTTTTGGGCTGAGAAGGTGCTGATCTCGCCTCAGTGGTAGTCATCTTCGCCTTCCTCTTTCTATTCTTCGATCCCGCAGCCTCCTTCATCGCCCTAGCTGCCCCCTCTTGGCCACGACGGCCATCGCCCATCAACCCCCCATCCAGAGAGGCCCCAATGTCTGCTCCCTCATCGTCATCGTCGTCGTGGCGTCCTCATCAGGGGTGTTGTCCTCGTCAACGGCCTTCTCCTTCCTCAACTTTCCCCTGGCGCGCTCCACCTCTCGCCACACCTCCATGTCCTCTGCATCACTCTCACCATCATCATCTCCACCGTCGACCGCCCTCCTCTCCTCCTCGCTGTCCTCAAACTCCTCATTCCCCGCTGGCTCCATCCCCGATCCACATCTGTTGTCTCACAACCCACGAGACTTCAGAAAGTTCACGATCTTTCGTGCATGGCTTGGATCGAACCCGTATTTTGTCTTGTTCCATATCTCCGCCATCTGCTCCACGGAGATTTTGACGCAATTGTTCTTGATCGTAAAGTGTTGTGCGGCTTTCGTCTAGCTCCCCTGAAAACCCTGACAAAACACATCTTGCACTCCAAGAGGAAATTGCCATTCGAATTCGGCATCGTCTGCCCCTTCGTAACCCACTTAAATCAGCAAAACTTCATCTTCGCCTCCGTCTACTTGTCTTTACTGACCGGAACGAATGGCTGATCTCCCCTCCCTTTCTTGGGCGCCATTGTACCCTTGCAGGTAGCCCACCGCCCACAGATGCCGGAGCGGAGCTCAGTGGACAGCGCCAAAGCCCGTCCTGCCCAGGCCTGTCCCCCTTCACCCCC